GCCGAAGACGAAACTGCAGTGTAAATGTGAAACATTGTGTCCATATCCCACTTACACGAAACTGCTGCCACCAGCATTTAGACAAACAGATCTCGGAGGGTTCTTTAGAAGTAACGAGCTTCATCCCGCTGGGAGGATGAGGAGCTCGGAAAATTTCAAATCTCAAGGAAGGCTCACAGCATTCAGGGGACAGTTCAAGCTAAGATAACAGTGAGGGATCTCTGCCTGTGGTGCCAAAAAAATAGGGACAGTTTTGTGACGGCTCCACTTTCCAACCAAACGTATCACTGTGCAGGAAGACGACGCAGAGAAAAAGTAGTTCCTGCATGAAGCGGCTCAGACCAGCGAGAAGGCTGCTGAGGTTTTTAAGGTTTTTCTTTTCACACCACACGGCCAGCAGCACTTAGTCCCATCATATTTTCAAGATGGCAGACACACCTCATAAACTGAGCGACTCACACAATGGCTGCTACGTGGAGCTGCTCACAGAAAGGTTGGAGTTTTACTTTTATGCATTTAACGACGCTTTGAGCGCCTTTTAATTCATCAAATGTACAGCAGGGCCTCCAAGACTGGACCCAGCACTAACGCACGTCTCTCCAACGCAGTCATAACAATCTGCTCATTTTCATGTTCCTCATGTAAAAGTAGAAAATTGGGGTTGTGATGCTACAAAAAACTTTCCTGGCATTCGGCCCAGAAGCTGCTCGTATCCGGATCCGAGAGGTGACCGGACACACCGAGCCGCAGGTGTTACGGCGAGGGCCGGGGTTAACCTCCTTCCTCTGAGGTCGTCCAGCCAGCTGCACACAGTGTGTGAGGCTGAAACGCTCACAGGCAGCAGAGCAGAGCTGCTTTTCATTTCATGTGTCAATGGACAGTAATGAAATTACCTCCACAGACAGAGAGAGATAAAGCAGAAACATCCCGTATGCCATCCTCCTCGGCTGCTTTATGGCTCCAGCATCTCACCCTCCCCTCTCTGGGCCTGTAAGTCAGTTTGTATTGACTCACTGCACTCTCCATGAAGTACCTTTCTATTAGTGGCCGTGATAATGAAATGGATATGAGGCAAATACACAAAGTCCGCTCTCAGCTTTCTCACTGAGATCTACAAAACCTCAAAACGATTTATACGATGTCCTCTGGACCGCAGCAGCGTGAGAACAAGCCTCGGTCCGCCCTGCTTCCCCAGACAGAAATTATTTGTAATTATGTTCCTTAATGCTAATAAAATGCTCATGCTAATTTGTAGAGACACGTTGCCTTTTAAAATGAAGCTGGTGTTTCCTGAGAAAGACCCTCGGTGCTCCTTTCATATCAGCGGAGACCGACTGAAGCTCAAACCCGAGAACGTGAAGGAGGAACGGATCAAACAGGAAGAGATGAAACGGCAGCAGCTCACAGACCGCAGCGGGGTTTTGTTTTGGTGTGTTTGTCATGTGAGGATATGATGTCTGGCACCAAGTAACCACAAATGATCGCTCCTCCTTCTCTTCCCGTCTCAGTTAATAACTCTGATTTTCTGTTTTCTTAGAGAGATACTTAAAATGTTGACGTGAAAGCATCACGTGTACAACCTGCACTCACACCTACTGAGGACACAGGGATCTGCACCTAACCTCAGCTGGGACTGGATGTGTGTCAAAGAACGAGCTCAGCTGATCGATGACGGAGACTGTTCAAGTGTCATTGTGAAGACACAGCGACATCCCCCTGTTTACAACATTGTCAGAGTTGTATTACACAAACAAACGGATGATGCAAAAATATGACACTAAGTCGAGGTGCCATAAATGTGAAAGCATGATTAATACGTATTTCTGCCATTGATCTGCCATGCTCACTGAGCGTGACTGCTTTTGAGTTTTTGTGAGAACCTCTGGACGGTGTCGGCAGCGTTCCATCAAACGTCGGCTTACAGGACAGAAAAACTAAGCAAACACAGGCGCACCAAAGCCTGCAGTTCCTCTAACATCCACTAGAGGCTGCAGCATTAAGAAATAAACATATTTACTGCCTGCATGACTGCATGCACAATTAGAGGCACGGCTTAGTTGACTGACAGGTGGGTGGTGACACAGGCGGCTGTAGCTGCTAGCCGTCTGCCTGAACTGGACCTCCGGACGCGTTTGTGCCGTGCAGCTACCATTAACTGCTCACAGGTCCTTCCAGGTGCATCATTATCAGCTCGAAAAAGTCTTCTACCCAGACGACTTCATGTCACACAATCGTCGGCCACTTCTCCAAACTATTGTACTATTACTATTGTAACATGAGCAGTCACCGTTTTAACCGAGCCAAATAAAGGACTGAGGCATGCAGTAGAGCTCTAAATGACCTGAGCTATCCAGCTGCTCCCAGAGGTGCACGTGAGCAAACAAACAGCCTGAGACGTGTTTAATGAACCAGAGATTTTCAATTAAACCTGCAAGTCTCTAAAATCGGTCCTCAGCAGGAAGGGAAAATGATCAAAACCTTTCAGAGTGTTGCTGCTACGCTTTCAGACTTTCAGGTTAGAATACATGAAACTTTAATTAACTCTGTGGAGAATCTGGGGTCGGTTACCACAGCAGGAAGTGCTTATATAAGATGATGAAGGGATTTCGTAGACAAATGCCCATTAATATAAACCCCAGAAAGAGAAAGGAGTTGGAGCAGCTGTTTAAAGATTGGTTTTTACTACACTGAGTTATTATTGTCAAGCTTAATAGTTTCCTTTGAGCCTGAAAGCAGCACGTTCGTGCTAACAGCTGATGGACAAGCACAGACGATTTACAAGTACAACCTGAGGAGTCTGTGGTCATGATGAGCTTTCCTTCAATAAGTAAGACTTCTACGCAATAAAGACTGTTTCTGCAGCCAGAGGAGTCGCCCCCTGCTGGTCGTCGGAAAGATTACAAGTTTATTACAAAGGCCACCTTTTCATGTCTGAATGAGAGTCGAGTGTTTGGATACAGTCTATGATGAGAACAGGAATGAAATCAAACAAAATGCTGAATCCAAACGCACCTTCGGATCTGTGAGACTTTTGTTCTGATATGAAATATTAAATCCGTCTCTGGATGACGGAGAACCGGAATTTTAACTAAACACCATCCCTGCAAACACTAACGTTGGCAAAGTCACAAATTTCAGAACCTTCACTGTAAAGACTTTTTATTCCACTCGTGTGACATGACTCCATTTCACATTAACATATATGACAGTTTTTGGTCCTGTTAAAAGTGAACTACGGTAGAATTATTGGAGATTATATTTAATGCACCCTTCAGCCACATATCTGCAATCAAATCCATTTGAACCTTTATTGAAACACCATTGATGTAAAAGTAAATCGATTCCTTTGAAAACAACTCTCCGTCGTACTTATACAGCCGCTCTGTGTCTCTCACCTGTGCTGCCTCGTTTCATCTCACACCTGTGTTTTGTGTGGTGCAGGGGAAGAGATGAGGCCTGTAATGGCTGAACTAAAGACAGGGATGAAGATGGAGTGTGACACGGATGTAGGATGGGAACTAGTTAGAGAATGGACAGAAGGAGAGGGGGTGAGGCTTTAAAAAAAGAGAAGTGGCAGGAATGAAAAATCATGTTTGCTTGAACACCACCCGCATCTCTGATTGGCCAAAACAGGTTGCTTCCAGAAAAAACACACAAATGCGCCTATCACACAACAGAAGACGATGTCAGGATGGTGTTTCCATAGATACAGCGAGAATAAACATTCATTTGGCCTTGTATATAAATATTTCTATTTTCTTTTAATCAAAACCGCCTCCTTTATTGGTTGCATTTGTGAATCTCTGCAAGCAGCAGTAGATGTCTCATTTGGCTCTGAAGGTGTGATGAAGAAAATGGACACGCCCATTTTTACTGCCAACATCAACAACAACAAGAATCATTTGGGGGGAAAATGCAAAATAACACTCTCTGCAAACCACCCCGAGGCGGTCAGAGGGATGGACGCATGTGGAAAGATTCAGATCAGAAATAGAATTTGAAAAATGGACGGCGGAAGAAAAACGGGAATGAAGGAGCGAGAGGGAGTCAACCGAGAGAGTGAGATGGTGGCGAGTGGGAGATCAGCCAAAATATCCTCTTCTAGAGAGAGAGACAGAAACAGGTAGACGGGAAAACAAGATACAGACAGAAAGATGGAAAAAATCCAGCCTGGAATACACCAAGGCTGAACGGGTGAAGGAAAGAGGGGTAAGGGCCAGAGATGGAGAGATATGAAGAAAATGGAGGGAAAGGGAGCGACACAGACAGAAAAAAGGGGGGGGGGGGCAGAGAGCGAGGGAGAGTGGAGAGGAAAAGGCGTTCAGACAAGCGTGAAGCATCAACAATGAGGGCTAACAAAGAAAATCCCAATGGAGGCATCAATCACTGCCCCACTTATCCCTCCTCCCTCTGATTTTTAGTCTTTATTCCAAGGTTTTGCCCCACGCACCCTCCTTCTATCACCCTCTTCTTCCCCTTTTCCTCCCCCAGCCACTCCCACCTCCATCCATTCATCCATCCATCCATCCATGCATCCATCCATCTGTCCGTCCATCTGTCCGTCCAGCCTCCAAAACAACACCAAGCCTCCGGTGTCTGTCGTTTCCATGCACCCTCAGCCCAAACAATCTGCGTATTTAAGCTCCCGTTCATGGACGCACACGGCTCGTGTACGATCCCGTGTTTTTATCCGGAGCAGACAGCCTCCTGAGGAGGCTCCATTACAATCCACAGCCTCTTTCCATTTCTGCCGAGATGACTGATGGGGAAAACGGGGAATGTGAACCGTGCTGAGAAAAGTTGTAAATTAAATATACAGCCTAAAGTCTAAGCTTCTTTTCCCCTTTTTTCCCTCCAGGACGTGTATGCCGTCCTCCTTCTCTCTGCCCACAACACACAAAGGAATCCCATGATACAGGGAGGGAAGGATGAACAGAACAATGGCATAAAGGAACGAGTGACGGAAGATAAAAAGGAATCGATGGCTCGTCCTTTCCTACCTTTCTGGCTTTGCGATTCATCCATGTTTTCTTCCATTGTGGCAGGTTACAGTCCCTTTGTCTCGGTTATGTGTGAAGCTGTTTAAAGCCCCTTGCTAGCTCTCAGCAGAGTGTGCGTGTGTGTGTGTGGGAGGCAGTGTGTGTGTGAGTGTTTTTCCCTCCCTGCAGATGATGGAGGCTCAGGGAAGTCCCTGTTCCAACGCTCTCTCTCCTCACGCTGCCTATCTGGACCTGTCCAGCATCCTGTCTCTGGATCCATCCACAGCTTTCAGTACAGAAACAGAAAAACATGAAACCTCCTTAACAAAAAAATATTGACACTAATATTTTTTTAGTCTTAGAAAATTAAAGAAAAGAAACAACATGTGCAGGATTTCTTATGACCAACGACAGAGTAAAAGCTTAATACTAATAAAAACAAAGGCATCTGTCTATATTTAGTCCGAATGACAAAGTAAAGAGATGTGAAAAAAGCACAGACAGGTTAAACAGAGCAGCGTGAAAACATCCTCAAACACAGTTTCAAGGAATAAAAGGAAGTCCAGGGGAAACAACAAACGAGGCAGCTCTGAAGTGACAAAGATTTAAAATGACATTAGCTCGTTACCAGGCCTCTGGAGAACTACAAGACATGTTGAGTAGGTTTTTTATCCATTTAAATCAGCTGTTTTGGATCAAGGACACATCTAAAACCTGCAGGACACCGGCCCTCGAGGCCTGGAGTTGGACACCCCTGGTCTAGCACATCCCACAGATGCTCGATTGGAATGAACTCATTGCTGTGCTCCTCAAACTATTCCTGATCCGTTATCCTACTGAAAGAGGCCACAGCCATCAGGGAGTACCATTTCCATGAAAGGGTGTAGATGGTCTGCAACAATGCCTAGGTAGGTGGTACGTGTTATAGCAACGGCCACATGTATGGGAGAACCCAAAGTTTCCCAGCAGAACATTACATCACACCGCCTCTTCCCTTACCTGGTGTTTCCCAGGTGAGCAACACACCTGGACATTCACGCGATGTAAAACATGATTCATCACACCAGGACGCCTTCTTACATTGGTGCGTGGTCCAGTTCTGATGCTCAGGTGCCCATTGTTGGTGCTTGAACGGGGATCAGCATGAGCACCTTGACTGGTCTGTGGCTGTGCAGCCCCACACATCAGGCTGTGATGCTCTGTGGCTCTGACACCTTTCTATCAGAACCAGCACAAAGGTGAGCCTTGGCTGCCCATGACCCTGTCACTGGTTCACCACTACTCCTTTTTGGACCACTTCTGATAGATATTGAGTCCTCCACACTGGGAACACCACACAGGAGCAGCAGCTGTGGAGAAGCTCCGATCCAGTACCCATCATAGTTTTGGCGTTTTGTAAAAAAAAATGTCTGTGAAGGTCCTCACAAATCCTCACACTTGCCCATTTTTCCTGCTTTGGCCACATCAGCTTTAAGGATAAAACCTTCACTTGCTCCTGATGAATCCCATCCACTAACCTTTGATCAAACTGCCTGGACATGTCGCCAGTCCACCACAGAGCTAACACAGAGAGAAAGATGAGCACTACACCACACAGTTTATGGTCACATGCATGCTTTTGGTCTGTGGAAGGAATCAGCAACGCTCTGAAGAACAAGCTTCTTGAAATGAGGCAACAGTGCTGACCACTGCACCACCATGCCAGTGAAAAATCCACAAAACCCACAAAAATAATTTTATTTGTAAAAGTAATCGGTCTACGGTTGTGGCTCTGCGTTCTGATCAGATAGTCAGTTTGCACTGTACTGACTGAGCAGATGTTGAAAACCCCTGCATATCCCAGTGTATGAAAGGTCTAACAAAGGAAAAAAAGGTTTGCCTGCAGTCCTCAGGCAAACCTGCAGTGAAGCACAAACTAGGGGTGGGCGGGATAAATGGTACACAGTAGAAACGATATGAATTTGGCCAACGGTAGAGATTTTGACTATACCACTCTCCCGCGATATCGATGTTGATGGTGTCATCAAGCTGCGCCTGTTTTTGGTCGAAAGCATCGCAACAGCTGCAAGCAATATCATCTGCATACTATGCCGGGCGACAGTAATAGCGAAGAGACAAAGCACATTTTGGAATATGAGGGAAGCCAAAAACTGCGCTTCTTCCACTTCTGTACCATTGATTCATTAATGTTGAATTCTCTGGCAGC